AAGTTAGTGTATAAAAACAAAAGAGAAAAACGAGTTAGTATGTGTAAAATAATTTATACGGATAAAATGTAATTCAGAGATGGATATAACACCTACCCTGTCATGATATCTACCCAAACATGCTTTCAATTAAATAACAATCCTACCCGGACATGCTATCTACCCAAAATGATCTATTTTCATTCAAGAAATTGGTCCTAACCGCATGGTATCTAGTTCGCATGCTTTAACAGAATAAATCTATTCTACACACTCAAAAATAAATAAATAAATAAAATAAAAAGGTTAGAGGGTTTCTCCATTGTGTACGCCTATTTTGGGTACCTATTGACGGACAGAGGTTCAGTATGACTCTACCTAGTGTGACCGTTCTATGGTTCACTATATGCATGGTTTCAGCTCTAACAGGAAAAAAAGGACTCGAATTGTCCTTGATGTCGGTGCCCCCTTGGGCTACCAAACCCTCAATCCTCACCCATTACAGGTTTCAAACGGACCGAGTTCAATTCGAGGGGATTCACTGCCTTATACCCATACGAGGAATAAATTCCTACGAAGGTATAAGGTATGTATCCCATGGGTTGTTTGCTAAAACTCATACGAAGAATAAATTCTTACGAGAGTAAAGCAATCACCCTAATTAATTTGGATCGAAACTCATGTCTAGAGCTCATGTTATGCTAATGAAAGTGATGTGTGTAAGGAGAAACAAACAAACCTTTGACTCAAAAACAGGGAAAATAAAAATAAAAAAATAACACCCAACGAGAACTAAGAAATATCTGAAAAAAAATGAAAACAATTAAAATGTTAGTATATAAAAATAAAGAGATAAAAAATAATACATAAAAATTCAATAAATAGATCATAGTTTTACTAAAGATTCGAACTTATAATTTCCACCATAACGACCATATATAAGCGACCGACAGCCTGACTCTCTAGACGTCCCCAGCGGAGTCGCCAAGCTGTCATAACCATTTTTTTTAAAACAATTAGATATTATTTTTAAAAACAATTATGACTTTAATTTGGAAAATTTGGTGATTTTGAATGGATTTGAATAAGATTGAAAAGAGTCTCCATCGACCTTTAGATTAGGCAGGTCGAATACCTAAAAACGTCTTTTAAAATAATTTTAAGAAAAATCATTTTTAAAGACAAAAGGGGTTTACGTTTACCAGAAAATCGATTTGATGGGTTCGGGAGTCGGTTACGTGTGGGGAAGGATTAGCACCCCCACAGCGCCCAAAATTGGTACTGTATCGCTTACATATCGTCGTGATGATGGAAATGATAAATCGAATATAAAATTAACCTATGATCTATTTATTGAGATTTATTTAATTTGCCTCGAATTATTTAAAGAAAATCCTTTAACTCAATCAGAAATCTTGAAATTTGCAATCCTCCGTCGGGAAAGCTATTTCAACTATTTCTCATTCGTAAAAGAATATTCTACCATTGATTATGTTAAAAATACAAATCGAATATAACTAAAAACAATGTTTACATACGAATAAATTGATTAACTAAAAACGTGAATTGAATACAAATTAAAAATTTTGAAATTTACATTCACATAAAATAAAGTAAATTGTCACTTAAAATAACACACATTGCATCGTTTGAACAAATTAATTAGCAAAATATACTCAACTTATTTCAAGTTTCTATGTCGTTAAAATGCCGTACCGGATCACACCACTTCGACCAAGTGATACTTTCCACGCTCATTCTACGCATATGTATTCTTGAAAATAAAATCGAAAATCAAATATTTCATACATAGATACAAATATAATGAGAATAAATGTAATTGGAAATACAAAATAAAATATTTACATTAAATGAAATTAAAAACATTATTTACATAATACAAATAACCGAATAACCAGTACAATAAAATCATACATAAATGACTGAAATAAAATATTCACAAATATCAGGGATAAATTCGAACATCTACCAAAATACCTATCATATGAAATCAGAGACTAAAACGAAATTATTACAAACATTGGGTCTAAAGTCAAATATCCACAAAATGACATAACATACATTAATAGGGCTAAAATAGAAATACATAAACATAATGGATTAAATTAGTAAAAGCATAAACTAACAGGGCTAAGAAGTAATTACCATAGTTCAAATTGCACATATTAAATAATACAGGTGTTAAAAATGAAAATAGCCCATAAATATTGTTAGTGACCAGAATGAGATAAACAGAAAGATAAAGGATCAAACTATACTTAAACCAAAAGCCCAACAATGATTAAAATAAAAATCCTACAAAAGACATGGCCGAATTAAAACATCAAAGAAAATACACCATATATAAAATTAGTGACTAAAATGAAATAAATCACATATCAGGGCTCAAAACAAAGTATTTGCCCAAAGCACACTAGTGATCAAATAGGGATCAAAATGAAAAGGTATAAAATATCAACTCCAAAATAGAATAAACATAAATCATTAATTGATGACCAAAATGAAAACTACATGAAATTAACAGCTAGATATATAAACATTTAAAAGACATAATACAGGACTAAAATGAATTAAAACAAAACATTAAGACCGACTAATACTTAAACCAAAAGTGAAGCAGTGACTAAAATAAAATATTTAGAAATGATATGACCAGATTCAAATGTCAACAAAAATACACAACACAAGCTACCAGTGACTAAAATAAAATAACTAAAAACATTGATACTAAAGTAAAACATACATAAACATGACAAAGTAAACAAACTAGTGACTGAAATACAAATATTGTAAAATACACGTCTGAAACAGAATATTAGAAATTTCGTTTAATGATTAAACAAACAGATTACAAAATATGGGGGACCAAACATGTAGTTAACCCACAATCCGAAAACACGCATAAGGTCCCCATAGAACGACGTCGTTCGACTGTGTGGTCATAAACCATATTTAGGGTTCTAAACCCTAATCCCTCATTATTTTCTTCCTCTCTCAGCCGCTCAACCAAAGAAAACAGAAGTGAGAGAGTTTTAAAACTCTCTCAACTTCTTCCCATCGGGGAAGAAAGGGCCGCCTCATACCGGAGGCCCATGACGGCCGGCACGGCAGTGCCCGGCGGTCGGAGGGAGTAAACAGTCTCAAAAGACCCCCTCCTTTACCCTCAACCCGAAAATCACCCCTACCTAACCTAAAACCGACCCTAAACCCTTAAATCTAAGGTATACCTTTTGAGAAAACAAGAAACCGGTGACCCTTCCTCTTCTCGATGACTTCTCCGATCAAGGTATGGTCTCCTCCCTCTCTATTTCCCTCTTGGTTTTTTTTTATTTTTTTTGTTTGGTTCCAGTAGTTCTCTTTTTTCTTGTTTTTTTCTGGGTTTTTTTTTCTCCCTGAACCCGAATAGTCTCTCTCTTTTTTTTTGTTATCCCCCCCTCTGTTCTCTTTGCTTCCTTCCTTTTATCTTGCTTTGCATGTTGATTTTTTTCGTTTGGTGAGATGATGATGTCTAGAATAGCCCATGGCTTTCTCTGATTTTGTAAGATATAAATCCCGAATATTTAGGGATTTATTGGTATTTTAATTTGGGGTTTGGTTTTTTGGTTGATTTGGTCCACTGTTGATGATGTTTTATTTTCTGTTTGATTGGTTCTGCTGTAGATGACTGTGGTGACGTGGGGACGGCGGCTGGACCATCGGAGTGGGTCGGAACAGTAACGGCGGCATGGCATTCTTTCCTCTGTTGGGGCGGCTGATGATGATTTAGGGTTTTGAAACCCTAATTTTGTTGGGTTATCATATGATGGGCTCGGGTTAAGCCTAGGTTGGGCCTTGTTGTATTGGGCTTTGGCCTGCAAAAATATGTAAAATGTAATATTAATAATATAATAATAAATAATAATAATAATAATAATAATAATAAATATATATAAATAAGACCCGGACAAAAACGGGTGTCTACACAAACTTTAAGTGTGATTTTCTTTTTTAACAACTTCATTGATGAGCTCGGTATTAAAGCGGTATCTTAATAGAAATGATTTTAATATTTATGTTGAACTGCTGTATTTTTGCGTGCGACATTAAAGATGATCGTTTTTCATCCTTACATGTGAATGGGGTATCAACAGAGTGGATAGGCGAGATGTAGATGATTGTGGTTATGATATTCAAATTTGAGCTTTTAGACTGTTGGATAGGAGTTCATGGCTATGCCACAAAGGTCTTCTTTGGCTTTGATGTTCCGTGTCACGAATGAAGGAGAAGAACAAAACGAAGGGTTCATAATTGAAGCGAAGGAATTGAGGAAATCAAAGAAATGGTTAGGGATTTTGAAAAAGAGAAATGATGAATTAGGGATTTTGATTTTAGAAATTGGGGCAGAAAGAATTGACACGGGATTAGAATCACGCAAGGCACAGATGGACTCTGTGAAGAAAAAGAGTGCAAGCCCAACAGTGAATCCAGTTGAGAGCCCACCAGAGATGTCTGCCTTAGTTGTAACAAGAGAATGAAGTTGTTACAATTAATTATAGAATGTACAACTGTCGAGAATCTATTAGCCATTAGTACATTGTAATTATATAAAACTATGTACTGAAAGAGTGATGAATGAATGAAGAGATCCTTTTCTATATTCTCTGTTCTTTTCTAAATCCTCTCATTTTCTTCGATCTCAGCTTCTCTATTTCTCAAGGTTCATAACAATAGGTTTATAGGTTGGGTGTTGAACATGAAGAACACGCCTAGTTTTGTGATAGTCGAGCGACTTTGAAAATTACATTTAATCCAGGATTTCATGAATAAATATAACACATTGAAATTGATTATCATTTTACCAGAGATCACTCAAAGGTACTTGTTCAAACTCAACATGTTTCGACAAGAAAATAGCTGGCAGATTTGTTAACTAAAGGTCTCCGTATTAGCTAGCATGAGTACTCATTATTCAAGTTCGGGGTGAAAGACATCTACCATCCTTCAACTTGAGAACTTGAGAGTGAGTTACGATGGTTCATTTGTGAAGATTAATTAGGTAGTTGACACACAAATCCAGTGTAAATGTGGGCACAATTATCGAAGTGAGTTCGGCATTGCTCACTTCCTTTTAACAGACGCAGGTTGGTAAACTCAATTATGTACATACAGATGGCATTTTGTACTCAGAGAAGCTCCCACTCTGAATCCAAGATGTCAGGAGTTGGCGATCCCGATGATAGTGAATAACTCTTGCAGTCTTCAGATTTTGCATCATCTCCATACAATAGGGCAAGTTGTCGATATTCCTTTTTCCTTGTCGACCTCATTCTTGACGAAATAGCATCACGAATCTTTTTCTGGGAGAGAGGAAACGGTCAAATGAGTATCACGAGAGAGTAAAAGAGAGAAAATTCGGGGGGGGGGGCAGTAGCTGTGGAGAAAAGCAAAAGGAATGTCAAAGCACCTGGTAAGGCTTATGTTTACCATCCTTCTGACAATGAAAATGAAGTTCAGCTCCATTCACCATGATGCAACTTTCATAAACTGGCGTGTCGCCCAACGGTTGAACACTTTCTATTTCCTTTCTACAAACAGTAGTGGTCCTTGATACACCGGTCATATCCATGGTCCAGTTATTTGATTGTCCTGCAAAATTCATTCACCAAGTTAAGACATGCAGCTCGCCAGATACAAACAAGCTAGCAAAATACAAAAACAGGGAGAGTGGTGAGGTATGAGAGATGTTTCCGGCAAGATATTGAGACCAACACAGCAATTAAGAAAATAACTGAAGTGGAGTTCAGATGATCATGAGATTCCTAAAACTTTGACTTCTACTTTGCACCTTCATTTCAAAGTTAGTGTCATTAAATATCAGGTAGAAAAGAAAATCCTTTCTCAGGATTAAGGTAAACAAAATAAAAACTAAATCATGGCCGTGCAACAAGTCTGCTATTCATAGTTGGTGAGACTTAGAGCTGGTACATTAACCTCACTCAAGAACAGCCTTAACCAACACCTTCTATTCCCCAACCCTTTTTTCCTCACAAAATCCAAAAAGAAAGCCACAAATATCATAGATTCTTCTATTGGTAAAGTAAAATCCCTGAAAAATCAAAATATTAACAATACATTGCTTACAAAATTAGTGTTAGAGCTCGGGCTGGAAAGGAATAAGATCTATCTCTTATGGAGAAAGAAGGGTTCTATCGACGTAAAAAAATGGCTGTCCCTTTTTCTCATATGTATGGGGCAAGGGGGAGGTAAGATAGTAGGCTACCCCCAACACCAGGTTGAGAGCAGCTTCCGTAAGAGACCTCCGAATTATGAAATGCCCTCCGTGGGACTCGATCCCATGACCTCAAGGTTAAGAACTTTGTGCTCTACCAACTAAGCTGGATGGTGAAAATCTACTGATAATTGTTCTACAATCTTTGTGTATAAACCAGAAACTGGGTTTTAGAGGGTGAAAATCTACGTAGATTTTAGAAGCTGAAAACTTGATTTTGTAAACCTACTGATAATTGTTCTACAATCTTTGTGGATAAACCCAAGTTTTTTTCTTTCTAAAGCTCCAAGTCAAGTGCTTTAACTTCTGGAGTAGACAACCAGATTTTCTGAAGAAGTGTAGGCGTGATAGGTTACTTCTTTCAAAAGGCAATCTTATGTTCACAATGCATCCAAACTTTAGAAGGCACAGGCAGATTTTGAACATCTCAATAAAGCTCAATTAAATAAATTATCAAGAAAGGGGGAGGAAATTCGTCAAAACCTAATTCTTTCCCCAAAAGAATTGATATGGAAAAGGAAATCCACACAGCATCAATCAAACAAAGATGGCTTTCAATTATTCACAGATCTAAACCATCTTTCCGAACTTCACTAAATCCTAATTACCAATGCCAATAAAAAGACTTTCCCAATCTTATTCAAAAGAAAGTTTGTAAACTGCACTTAATGAAATATAGATACCAAGAGGACAGGATGCAAAAGCAATTCTATCAGAAATTCATTATGTTGAATGTCACCATCATTTGAACAACTGTCTGCAGCAACTAAATCTAAAATCAACAATAGCTACTTTAAAATAAGCAAGGGAAACTCAAGATAACATAGTCTAGGAAATCTCACCATTTGATTCTGCTGAACCAATAACATAGGTTGACAACCTTATCTCTATTTCTTTATCCACAACTGACTCACCCAACTGTAAATCATCATTTAGAATTTCAGGTGTAGATTCACTTGCACTTGCACTTTCAATTTCATAATTTTTATTGCAACCTTCTTCTAAAGAATCACAACCATCTTCTTTGACCAAAACCGGGGATAATGTTGTGGGTGACTGATGACATGAAACTTCATGATTTGCATTAGCATTTCCAGAAAATGATGTCATTCTGCTGAACTCATTCTCCACAGAAGTGAATTCAGAGGTTCTAGCTAGTGGTAAGTTCTCAATATTTGGCTTATCAAGTGTATTGTTGCTATGCTCCCCAGAAAGCAAGTCAGAGGATTCTCTTTCCACAAATCCTCCATTGCATGATTCAAATATGTTATCATTCATGTGAATCTGGCTGGATGAAGGCACACTGGCAGCATTTTCATTAACATCAGCAATTACTTCTGGATATTCAGTTAACGGCTCACCTTTACTCTTTATAGCACCCTCCTTTAAACCTACATTAGGCTTTTCTAATGTCACAGAATTTTCCTCAACAGGCGTATCAGATGCAGCGACTGCTTCCTTAGGCTTCAATGAAGATGGAAGAAGCAAATCCTGCACCATGTCTTGCATCACATCTGAGTAGAACTTTTTAACACTAGCACCAACAGTCTGCACCTGATCCTCCACGTATTTAACTGTGTCCTGTTCCCAAAGATAATGAATTATTGGAATTTAGTATGAGCTTACATGAGCATACCCTGGACTGAAAAAAAAACGGCGACAAGTGAATATAACACATCCACATGGCACAACAATGATGACTCCAATATCCATACAAATCACCTCAAACACAAAACCCAAAACATAGATATACACACTTTGGAAGAGAACTTTCCTGCATATTGTTATTGGTATGAAACACAGGGAAAACAAGGAAGAAAGAGCGGAAGTTGAGAAGTTGTGTCTGTCTTTTGACACTGGGGTTCTCATGAATTGAGTCTACAAAACCTAATATATAACTCAAAAAGGTTGGTGAAGTTTCAAGAAAAGATTACCGAAGGGGGTGTTACCTGGTACATAACTTCTTCCGCCTCAAGGCACATGGATTCAAATTCCTGATATACATGCCCCACCCAGGTTATACCTTTCAAATCCATAGTAATCATCAATCGTACTAGCTAGAAGAACAGAAGGAATTCTTCCACTATATCACGTTACAATTGTCTTCAAATTTAAAGCATTTTTCTGCAACAAAGTAAATTTAAAATCAGTACACTCCTCAAAGAACAGAATGAGGGTGTTAGGAAGTTCAATTGAGATACATATATTGTAACCCGAGAGGGACATGCCGAATAACTTAAATAAGTATTATTCAATCTAAAAATCACAATCATGCAGTGCCAAGCCTAACCAGAAGAAGATAAAAAAAGAATAGTTACTTGGAAAGGGACCCTTGATCTAGGAAAAAAAAAGGAATAAGGCCTTGAACTACTTCATAGTCAAAAATCATAAATCATGAATACCAAGAAATACTAATGGTCCCCATCCAAAACTTCTATATTGTTCTTACATGATGACATTGATCCCTTAAGAGGCCACTAAGTAAAAGCCAATAGTTTATCGAACTGGATGAAATCACTTAAAAAGCAAGTGAAGCGGCAAAAATCATGTAATCTTCATCAATACTATATTTGCTCTTAATAAACAATCTTCATCCTACCAAACTTCAGTTTAATGTACAAACTTCTAACCACGAGTATGACACAACAAAAGAGAAAGGAAATAGTACACGAACACTTAGGAACACAGGGATTGCAGTTTATCGACATGCATTCTACAGATGCAATCAATGGTACCCGAACCATTAAAAAAAACGATCACACACTAAGAAGCAATACCATACTTCTAAATCTTAACAGTTACAAATAAATAGTAAGGATGGATCCTAACTTAATTTTCTTAACAACATTTCCCAAAGACTTAGCTTCCAATAGATACTTTTTAAAAACAATAATTAAAACTATATCTATTATCAATTATTTCGAACAAATTAACTTTATGAGCGCACGCATCAACAGCTTCGGCTAATAAAGGTCACCTAGATTTCAACTTTATATGGAAAACTAAAGGAAACAAACGTTAATCCAGAACGATCAATAGCTAAATTTATATATGCGAATTACAGTTTCTTAACAAGCTAAAAGAACATTTATATAAATTAAAAAAAAAAAAAAACCCAAGCTAAAAGAACAATTCAAAAAACATCAAAATTTCATATATTACCCAGAAAAAAATCAATAAATTATCTTTTTTTTATAATAAAGAGAGAATAATATTATGATGTAAAAAGCAGCAGATAGTTTTATCTAAAGGAAAGTTGAAAAGAAGAAGGAATTACACTTTCTTTTTCCCCCTTCAAAAACTGAATAATCCGCCAGTGATGAAAGGTAAAGCAAAACCAGAAGCTAAAATTTCGATGGGGAACTTCTTGGATTACGTATTTGTGTGTAGTGTGTTCAGAGATTATGATGCCTCAAATTTTGCTTTTAACTTTTCCAATAAAAGTTAAGAAAATGATTTATTTATTGATAAGTTTAAGGGTGAGCAAAATTCATTTTGAATAGAGTATAATTGATTAAATATTTTTTATTAAAATTGATCAAACTCTAGGTTTAATCAAGTAGTTCATTTTTATTATTTTATATTTTTTAATTATGATTTTAAATTCACTAGGTGAATATTTTCTCTCTCTTTAGAATCTTTTTATATACGATTAGAACTAGATTAAAATTTATAAAAAATATAATTTTAATTAAAAAGTAAAGTTTAATTTATATTTTTTTATTTAAGTGTTTTTCTAAACTATATGTTTAATTTTTTTTATCTTTTAATGTTTTAAAATTAAAAAATTGAACCATTAATACATGTTAAAAATATGTTTTCTAACACATGACTTGATCTTTATTTTTATTTAAAAAATTTATTTTTCTAGAAAGATCTCGTAAAATTTATAGAAGGTACATAGTTTGAGGTAATTACAAAATAATATTTGTTTAGAATTTTTTAATTATTGGTAATACACATAATACAAATGTAAATGTTCAAATACAAGTAGTCTAGGAAAGACAATACACTATTCTATCACTGAGGTCACTCATGTTCCATAAAGCATGTAAATTTTAATTTATATAAGGGTCCACTTGTTTTACTGAAAACAATTTCGAAAAATAATTTCTAGAAAATGAATTACATTTCTTGGAAAACGATTTTCATAAATCATTTTATAGTGCTTAGATGATTTCTGTAAAATATTTTCATCGTTTGACAAATTTTTCTGAAATTGTTTTCCGAACATTATTTTAATGAAGATTACAATACATTTCTTTAAGCAAAAGCTTATACATATACAAGTTATAAAATTCTGATTACATTTCATACTCAATACAATGATTTTTCCCCATAAATTATTCTAGTCTATAATCATTTCAATTTTATTAGATTCATTTTCTTTCCAATATCCCTTATGTAATTCAAAATATAAACAAAATTCTACAGAATATGTGTATAATTAAACTCCAATGAAGATAAACAATCATATTTTATTAACATGCATTCATAATAAGCAAATAAAAACACACAAATTCATTAGAAAATATTGAAGAGAACAATTCCAGTAACTATCCATATTATTTAGAGGAACTATACAAATTTACATAAAGAAAATATTTATATATGAAATCAAATGTACTTTAAAACAAAGAAACTATTTGTAAACCTATAGAGGAAGGAAAAGGAACATCCAATGCCCATGAAATTTTAAGGAAGAATATTTTATTTAAAAGTCAAATTCGAAGAAAATGATAAATACACACACAAAAAATCTAACATTTCTTACTTATAAATCGTTTGAAGTAGATAAAAAAATCCATCTCAATAGTTAGAACTTTGACTGATTCTTGTTAAAAAATAAAATATTTACAAGCTTTTCTTATATCTGACATATAGAAAATGAAGAAGAAAAATGAAGGTCTTCTCTTTTTCTTCTGCTGAAATTGAAGGTATGAAGGAAATATACGAATGGGTGTTCGTGTCATTGGTTCGAAAGAGAAAAACATAGAGAAAAATATACAAAGGGGAGTCATATTGTTTGGCTTAAACCCACGAAGGGGAGTCATCCAAAGAATCATTCATTTAGAGGAATCATTTATAGCATAACTTAAGTCGAGAAGAGTTATTGATCGCATGGTAGCAACTAGGAACTACCTTCTAGTCAAAATTCAAACTCAGGTTTTTAAGCCAAGAAGCCAGATTGGTTGTGACTTGGCAACAAGAAACCACTTCTCAGTTAAATTTTGACATAGTTTAAATTAAAAAGAACTATCTATCGACTAAAGCTTTCAAGTTTGATTTCACTCAACTCGAGAGCACGTTGACCGGATGGTAGCAACGAGGAACTACCTTGTCAAATTCAAACCAGGGTCTTTAAGCTAAGAAGAAAACCCAAGTTGGTTACGATTTGGTAATAAGGAACCACTTTCCAGCCAGATTTTGACATATCTTAGGTTGAGAAGAGCTATCTATCGACCAAAGCTTTCAAGTTCAATTCCACTCAACTCGAGAGAACATTGATCACATGATAGCAACGAGGAACTATCTTTTTGTCAAAATTCAAACCGATGTCTTTAAGCCAAGAAGAATACTCATATTGGATGTGATTTAGCAACAAGGAACCACTTCCCAGCAAAAATTTCGACATAGATTAAGTCAAGAAGATCTATATATCAACCAAAGCTTTAAATTTCAACTCTACGACAGAAGATATTCAGCCTGAAGAACCAATCATCCAAACTAACTTTAATATTCACATGCACACTAACTAATAATTTTGTTAACTTTTGGATGTTCAATTACATTGGACCAAAATGAACCACAGGAAGATTTTTAAACCCATATACTTGAAGATGTAGACAAACTCCCAAAATGGTCTTAAAAATGCCCAAGAATTCTTGAAGATGTAGAAGAGCGTATGAACTGAAGATCAAGGAAAACAATGACATCATGGAACGAAGCTATATCAAGTGAACAAAAATTGGCTATTTTTTTATCTTTGCTCTATTCGCTTCACATGCCAATAAACAAAGAGGGGCATCTATAATACTCGATTTTTTTCGGGCCTTGTAACACCCCAACCCGTACCCGACCTGGATACTAGTCCGAAATGTCATATTGACTTTTTAAAACAATATTCTTACAAAATAACAGAACATTTGGACTTATATTAAGAAAATACAATAATATACTGCTACAGTGTACCGATGCACAAAAACATCGAATTTAAAATGTGTATCGATGCACTGCTACAGTGTACCGATACACTGCTACAATAATTTCAGCCAAACATATATAAAACTCATAAAAATTTAAACTTTCATCACTATAAAGTTACCATTTACATAAATACGTTTAAAACATTACAAAACTCGATCAGAGCACACATACTTAATTTACCGACTTTGTTTACATGCCAACCTATTTATCACATAACAAGACATAATGTGTAATTTACTTCTGATCTGATCTTCAAGTGGAGATATGTTGTTCTGCTGAGCTTATATTGGATCTTTCTACTTTTCGGTACCTACGTGTAAAACGATTACACGCTAAGTCACAGACTTAGTGAGGCATAATGATAATATCATAATAATATGAAATGTAATGAAATAACTTATTTAATCCATGCAAGTTGCATAACTATATATCTTACCCATAATCTGATCAAATTAACCATCATGAATTCATATAATAAGTTCACTAGCTCATTATACCATACTGAGAACCTAAGGTATGTGAGTACTGTGAGGTTGTACGCTATGCTGTCACCACAGCTCGTATAAATTTGCACCGAAGTGTCACGCAGAATTGCACCGAAGTGCCGCGTAGAATTGCATCGTAGTTCCATATAAAATTTGTCCATAAGGACCACATAGAAATTCCTTAAGAATCATATACATATACCAAGGATCAAGTAGGTGTCTCAAAAGACCTCATACATGTTCCAAAGAATACATATATGTCCCGAAGGACTACGTAGAATTGTCCCGAAGGACCGCGTAGACCCTCTACTCTTGGCATGCCAATTATACCTATAGTTCTCATCAACATAACATGGGCTTTCACAATTCACGTAGTATATCTCATAAACATATAATTTCCTTACCTTTATCACATGGCTCATAAACTTTTCATGCATGTTCATTTCAAACATATCACATAATGCATATGGTATGAATTCATATCATGTTTCATAATATGGAATGAATCATGTATCAAGATATTAAATCTAGACTTATCACAAGTCTAGAACTGAATATACTAACATAATCATGCTATGCATATGTACTCACATATATCTCTTTATCTTTCCCTCGATCGATCTTAAACATAATTTCCGAGACGATTATCAGAAGCCTAAACCTTATAACTTGATATTAATAGCTTAAGCTAATTTAATGAACCAAACTTCAACTTTTCCTTTAGGAGTATACCTGGTGTATCGGTACCTAAATCCAATTCGAAATTCCCATGTATCGATACACCCCTTAATGTATCGATGCACCTTCAAAATTGATCTTAGTATATCGGTACCTATGAATAGGTATCGATACACCCTGCCCAGATCAAACTTTTTTCACCCAAAAATTCCACAACTTTTCATTAAATTTTCTTATATAAAACTTCTTTTATATCACCCAACTCAACTACAACCATTTTAACTAACTGTTATCATTTCAATATCTTATTATCTCACATATCTCATCCAAATTCTTAAAACCAAGAATCTTACTAAATTTTCCATGTAATCCAAACTTTGATTTAACACTTATAACTTCTTATTCACACCTATGACAAGTCAATTTTAGTTTCGAATTTAACTTATCAACTCTTTTCCAGAAATTTATTTAGAAACCCCTTCTCTTTAATCTCTTATAACTTCTTCATCTTTTTATTATAAGACAACTTAAGCTTTCCTTAAACTTAAGTATCACCTAAGAATCAAAACTCAACCTTTAATTCAACAAATAATCAACTAATTAAGAAACTCACCTTTGCTTGTATGCTTCACGGTTGGAGAAGAAGAAGATGAAGAAGAGAAGTTTGGAAACATTTGTTTCCTAAACATGCTCCACGTGGGTTATAAAACACCCACAACAATTATTTAATTATTTCCTTGATCAAAGACCCATTTGCCCCTTGTTTTCTCCTTCATTTGTTAACTCATCCTACACAAAACATTTCAATTAAATCCTCAAACTTTTCAATTTATCTCATTTGGTCACTGAATTTTTAAAATTTCACAATTTGGTCATTAACCTGGTATTGAGGATGTTACAGGCCTAGTTTTCTTTCCCAAAGCATAAATATTTTATTGAAGCTGATTTTGAAACCCAATCAACCATATTGCAACAAATTTTCAAGCAATATCCAAATGTTTCTAGGGCATAATGTTTTCTTAATATATTATCGAT